ATGTGGGAACTATATATGCTAGGAGGAGAATTCCGCTGCGTTCTGGCGAGGCATTCTTGATCGCCTGGAAGTAGAGAGGAAGGTAGTAGACGCGGATATAGTTGGCTGCGTTGAGGCTACCATGCTGAGTTAGCGTAGTGACTGAGTTGCCAGTAATTTTCACCTACAAGAATACGAAAATGCAACACATAAAGACGCCGCGGTTACGCAGGTATCGCGACGCAACCAGTGCTTCATCCCCCTGGAACCACTCCACGGCCGCAAAAAGTAGCGTCAATAGGATCCACCCGACCAGTAGGCCGATGGGCTGCGACGAATTCCAAGACTTGGTAATTCCACCGTATTCCAGCGCCAATAGATAGCATATAAGGGCACCAGTCATGACGAAGCAGCCCGGGAGATCCAACTTGAGGAGAATTTCCAGCACCGGCGTAGGAGCCGGTCGGTGGCTTTGAGGGAGGCGTAAAGTCAGCAAAAGTGCGGCAACAGCCACACCCCCAAGAGGAAGATTGATGTAGAAACTAGATGAAACAGGACAGATTGCAATATTAGTTCTTGGAGAGTGTCTGCAAGGCCTAGAGAAGCCATTACTACTCACCACCATCGCCAAGTCACATTGGACGTGAAGGCCCCTCCAATCAAGGGGCCGGCAACACTTGCGATTGTGAAAATGATGCCATTCAGGCCGTAGAAAATCGGAACTTTTTCAGGTTGTACAATGTGGGCTATAATAATATAAGTGCCCGATATCACACCAGCACCACCAAAGCCCGCGACTGCACGGCCAGCAATGAATCCGGCACTGTTCTTGGACACCGCTGGTACTGGCTTAGAATCTTTGTCCAAAAAAAAAAAAAAAAGAAAAAAGACATTCAGGAGAGAGAGGCAGACATACCACACCCAAGTGTTCCCAACTCGAAGCTCAAGATTGCCGTAATGAAAATGTACTTTATCGGACAGTATCGATACAGCTTGCCCCAGAATGTTTGGAAGCAACACATTGTGAGGAAGAAAGCCGAGCCATACCAGCCTACGTCGTTGAGGCTATGGAAATCATGTGTAATTCGTGGGACGGCCGTGGAGATAATTGTCTGTGGGCAGGGTATTAACGGGAACTGGGTGCAAAGAGAAAGATGATAATCTCGACGTACCAGATCCAAGGCAGTCTTAATGTGATCATACAATCGTTAGTCCAGAATCTCAACTGTAATCTGTTTTTGTAAAGAAGGGAAGCCGAATGCCTACCAGAAGCATTGCAAGCAGAAGGGCTAGTATGGTGACTATGAATTGATATTTGGACATCCGCCCTGTCGCCACGAGCTTGTCCTTTTTCTCGAGGGAGGGGGAACAGTCACCGCTGGACTTGTCAATGCTGGCCATCGCGAAAGATATGCGAAAAAATAATAATGTAGAGCAGTAAGAACCAGTGATCAATGTGTGGGGATTATATGGAAAGTTTTCAGAGCGTGGTTGTAGAATTCTGATGACTGAGGATGGTTATCTGTGGCTTAGACTGTGCGGACGGGTCGATCGGGTACAAAGAAACTTTTAGACCTACGACAAGGAGACTCCGTCCGCCCCCAATGAGCACTAAGTCGACCTGCATATACATGCATCAGCTCAGGCTCCGCCAGTTAGCCAAACTCCTGGCGAGAGTCTGAAGGACATATCTATTTAGATGAGCCCGCACTCGTGTTCTTTCCTTCACCTTCCAGATCTAGTATTATTCTTACATTATAATCATGTCCACTCTTTCCCCAAGCGAGATCGCCTATGAGAAGGCTCACATCAATGAGACACGACAGCCTGCTTGCTATGGTGTTGTTATCACATTTTATATCATCGCAATCATCCTGGTGGTGATTCGCTTGGCCGTCCGGCGACTACAAAAGACGATGCCTAGTCTGGACGACTATCTGTCTATCGCAGGCATCATATTTCTGATACCGTTCATAAGTGCCACTCTTGGAGGTCAGTACAGTCGCTTGCAACCGACTCACTAGAGTACTGATCGCAACCACAGAGGTCGCCAATGGTATCGGTCGGCATAGCATAACCGTGACTACCCATGAGTCCATCATGCAGATGAAGGTGAGTATCAGCGAAAATGTCAACAAACAGAGACCTATTGCAGCTGACAGGAACATAGTGGGAAGTAGTCAACTTGTACTCATACACAATGTCCATTACAACCATAAAGTTATCGATCCTGGCGCTTCTGGGTCGTATCTTCGTTACTGCTCCGCGCAGCTTCCATATCTGCATCTATATATTGGCTTGCTGGATGGTACTCTGGGCGATTGCCTTAATCTTCGCCTACAGCTTTCAGTGCCGACCATTCTCGAGCCAGTGGAGTCTCAGTGAAAACTGTAGCTCAAGTTTGAAACTCGAATACTCCGCCAGTATATTGAACGCCGTTCACGACGTGATGATGTTTTGCCTCCCGCAGCGGATCATTTGGAATCTTCATCTTGCCGCCCGCAAAAAGCTGGCCGTGAGCATATCGTTTTTTATCGGACTCATGTAAGTCATATCCTTCTATTTAGTTTTACCATTCACACTCGAGGAACCCGGGCTAATTGGTAACGTAGCGCCACGCTGATGGCATTGTTGAAGATAGCTTACATTCAAGGTGCACCCGGCACAAGCCACAAATCGGATTTGTGTAAGCCTTTGAATCTCATGTTACCACCAAAGCTCTTCCAACTCTTACGCAGGAGCTTTATCTAACATATGTATAACCTATTGTAGATGCCATCGCCCCGGCCCTCATTTTTAACGCTATGGAGCCTCTTCTCGCCTCCATTTGCTCCTGCCTTCCAGCCATCCCGTATTTCTTCCGCCACGTGCGACTAGACAGCTTCTATCAGCTCTCAAGCCTATTCCGCTCTAGCAGGAGCGTCAATGACTCGAAGGGGTCCGCAATCAACATTGGCAGGAATAACAGGCACTATCCTTCCTCCAACGGGGCGTCGACAGAGTCCATTACCGAGCTGACAAAACGCTCCGGGGAGGAGGTCTAGTCTCATCGGGTGGCAAAGTTGCACTAATTTTCTCACTTGTGGGATTATGAGGCCTGTGCTTGTGAGCGCGGAAAGGGACAGACGGAAAGCGGACCCCGATTGCGGGTAGAAGACGAGTTGCCTTTTCAGTCTTAGTCTGACTTCGATGTTTTGGTTTAGCACGGATGTATGCAGCCTGCTTCTGCATGGTAGACCGCTTGAAGCGTCCTCTGTACAGCCCCAATACTAGCCTTGTTAGGCACTCATTCCTAGTGGCTCAAGTTTCATCGTTAACCACGCTGTATACCAATCTTTACGGTTTTCTCCGCAAGCATGATTTGTTTGCTGCGATAAATCAAATTTAGTGGTAATAAGTCATTACCGAGCCTAAACCACTAGTGGCAACTTCCAATCAGGCTAGATACAAAGTAGTCAGATGCGTGCTTGTCACACATTTTGTGTGATAAAAATGGCCCCCATAGTGATCGGCATTACGTGCATATCTAGCTAAGCTACTGAGCAGACATTCTTATTCGACAGCCTTGCCTTCCGCAACCCAAACCTCCTCATATCCCACCCTTCTTACCACGGAGGCCTTGTCAATCAGTTTGACCTCGCTTGGCTCCACTACCTCTGTATAGTATGGATCCGCGCGCAGGCGGCCCAGAATGTCCCAATTTTCCAACAGGATCTCCGCATGTCCATCAAACGACTCCATCACCTGATCTCCACTGGCGTGCCCCTGCCCCAGGTACTGCTTGGCCATGTCCGGCGGGGTGTGGAACTGGTTGAAGGACGAATGTTAGCAATGAAATAGCCCCTAAGTATACTTTGACAGAAGTCTTCACGGGACATACCAGAGTATAGCGGTATACCCCATGCCGTGCCAACCAAACTTTCAACAGTTGAGCGTGAGTAGTGGTCCATGTGCTTGTGAGGTGGGAACAGAGTGAAGATGTCAGCAAACTCTCTCCAATGTAGGTTGGGGATAAACTCGGAGCCAATCTCACTGGTGAAAATCCTCCACGGTGAGGGACGGATGCCGCTTGACATAAGTGTCGAAGCGAATCAAACGATTGTTAGTTGTCATATCCGTAGAGATTACCTGCAAACAGGGGCTGTGCGCGTTGGGGTCAGAAATGGGAGAGTAAAGTGCCAAGGTAGGGAATGTGAGATTGTTTAATGAAGTCGGAGTAGCGCGACCCTTATCTTATGTGGTTTCCCGCGAGGACGGAATACTTAGCACGAAGTAGCCACCTGTCCGTGCCTAGAGAACCGGTTCAGATTACCCAAAGCGGAAGTTTTACCTGGCAAGCCAATGTGCCTTGTTGCCCACGGTTGACTCACGCAGTAGAATGCGGGACGAGGAGGGGGTGTACGGGCACTAGCGAAAAGATCAATGCGTAATTGACCAGGAACATTACACTCTCTGTGGGCCAAGTCAGCCTCACAACTCTAGACTGGTGCTGATCTGGTGGGGTTAGGGCCAGCCGACGGTTTGAATTATATCGTATTGAGGTCTACTATAGACTAGTATTTCGTCTAGTACCAGGCAGTGTGCGGCATAGCCACCATAACAAACGTCGTAGGCTCACAACTAATCACCGTAGTCTTAGAAATGTGTCGACGGCTCTCTTGATTTGCCCATGACGACCACATGGTTCTCATATATAAAGTCCCGTATATTTGAGAAGACGTATACTAGATCAGCACTTCTCTGAAATCTCTCATAATATGTCTTTCCGCGATCAAGTTCACAAGATCTGCACTCAGCTGTTGCAGAAGCTGGCAGATAGCTGCAGCCATCCCCATGGACTAAGTACTATCTCATGCTCTGTGTATGATACTGCATGGGTCTCAATGATACGGAAGCCGGTGAAAGGATCCTCTTCCCAATGGCTCTTCCCATCATCCTTCGCCCATCTTCTGAATACCCAGTCCCCGGATGGCGGGTGGACAGGGACGTCAGACTGCGGCGTGGACCATATCCTGAACACAATGGCCGCACTCTTGTCTCTACTCCGGCATCGAACCTCCCTTGCCACTTCTAACGAGCACAAGGATGAGGCGCGCGATCTGGACGAGAGGATCTTTCGAGCAATGGCTTTTCTGCGCCCGAAGCTTCAGCTTGCAGACGTGGCAAGTGTTGACCGCGTAGGATTGGAGCTTCTCATTCCCGCCCACCAACGTCTCCTGCAAGAGGAGGGAGTGTTTCTGGATTTTCCTGGTGCCATCGAGTTGAACCGGTTGCGAGAGGCCAAGCTGGCCCGCTTCTCCCCGGACATTCTGTACGGCAGCACACCCACCACGGTCACCCATTCTCTAGAAGCCTTCATTGGAGTTGTCGATTTCGATCGGATCCGCCATCGATTGGACTTTGGGAGCATGCTGGCGTCTCCTTCCTCAACCGCTGCCTATCTGATGAACTCTTCTCAATGGGACGATACTGCCGAAGCCTACCTGCGTGCTGCTGTAGAGCATGGTGCAGGGCAGGGCTCAGGAGCCCTACCTAGCGCTTTCCCAACAACCACCTTCGAGGTGGTCTGGGTGGCTTCGACACTTCTGCAGTACCAGGTCGTGCTTGGGGACACGGGACAGGAGTGTTTGCAGACTATCGGGCAATACCTGAACCATATTTATGAGCGCCAAAATGGGGTGTTCGGGTGGGGTAAGGACTTATTTCCCTTCATTGTCTTGAGCACCTCTAACCCTTTTAGCGCCCACCCTGATCGCTGATGCCGACGATACGGCACGCGGCGTCTTGACCTTGAACTTGATCGGCTATGCCGCACGACCAGATCAGTTAATCGCACAATTCCGAAGTCATGACCATTTTCGAACATATCCCCAGGAAAGAGACCCAAGTATCAGCACGAACTGCAATGTTCTTGCCGCCATGCTTCATACAACGGATCCATGTCAGTATATCAAGTATATCGAGTTGACGCTCCGCTTCCTCTACCGGCAGCACAACGCAGGACATTTCCAAGATAAATGGGTAGGTGTGAACTCTAGAATCCCAGAGCGTCCCGACGGCCTGTGACTAATGAAGTGTGAAATAGAATATAAGCCCTATGTATCCTCGAATGCTTCTTGCCACTGTGCTTTCACGGGTGACACAACTTTGGGCTAAAGGGCCCCTCGCCCCTTTGGCACTCGATTGCGTGCAAACGGCTTTTGTTGTCCTCAGCAATCTGCTGCAGAAGACACTTATGGAGCAAGATCAGGTAACAGGATCCTGGAATAAGTCCACCGAGGTCACCGCGTATTCTGTTCTTACATTGGCCGCTGCCTCCAACACCCCCGTCGGAGCTGTGGTCGGGGAGAAGCTTCGCACCAGCATCATTTATGGACGCGCATTTCTCGAAGCCAACTTTCAACTATGGGGCCATGACCGGCCTCTCTGGATTGAGAAAGTATTGTACAGCTCCCCCATACTCTCGAGTGGGTTCTGTACTGCCGCGCTACTCACCCCGACCTTTACCATGCAGGTGGCGAGCAGCGAGGATGGGGTAGCAACGAGTGTACCAAGTGATAGCCTACTCCACTTCCGAAAGTTCTATTCCCGTCTGCCCCTTCTTAGTGACGAACCGCAGTGGCGGCTCACATCCTCTTTGTACGAGGCGGGATTGTGGTATCATCGCTTGGCCGATCAGCGTCACGAAATCTTCCCTCGCGATAACATGGCGCCGGACAAATACCTGCAATATATTCCACAAACCTGGACGCTCTGCAACGCACGCAACAGCAATGCGCTGGAGCCAGACCTAATGTGGAACATGATGATTATCTCCATGCTCAACTATCAAGTGGATGAGTTCCTTGAGTCGGTTGTAGGGGCCTATACTGCGGAAGAGGTCAATGTTGTACGAAACATTATCCATAGATTGTGTCACGACGAGCAGCACCACCGAGAATCGCCCCTTCCGACTCTTCTGGGAGAAGACCCAGGCTCAGACGATGAAAACAGTGATATACACCCACGGCGCTCCGAGCCCACCCCTCCGGATTCTCCCAAAGCCGGCAACGCGAACCACACCCTCGCTCACACTGGCCACATTCTGTACAAATTCACTCGCTACATACTCTCACATCCGGCTGTTGCTCACAGCCCTGTGAATACACGTCGCCTCCTTGCCCGCGAACTCGAGATCTTTCTGCAAGCTCATCTGACCGATCTGGTGACGAGCCAGCAACTGCATCAATCTCTTCCCCATCTCCACCTACAAGACCAGCTCGCCAAGCCACCATCTTCCTACTTCACCTGGGTCCGTACCACCTCCGCTGATCACACCAGTTGTCCATATTCCTTTCACTTTTTTGCTGCCCTCATTGCCTACTACCACCGCCCCCCAGATACAAGCGCTCCTCAATTTGCCTTCTACGGGCCCCGCCAACGCTACCTAGCAGAATCTCTCTGTCGCCACCTTGCCACCATGTGCCGCCAATACAACGACTATGGCAGCATTTCTAGGGACATGGTGGAAAGGAACCTCAACAGCGTCAACTTTCCTGAGTTCTGGGAGCAGGTTGGGGATGGAAAGATAGCCGGTACCCATAATGACGGCGGCGACCACGGCAAACCGACTGACAAGTCTCTAGATGCGGTCAAAGCAGATCTAATCTGGCTCGCCGAGTACGAAAGGGCCTGCTGTATGAGTGCCCTGGACCGTCTAGTGAATGAGACTGGGTTACCGACACGCACGGCTCGGATCTTGCAGACCTTTGTCGATGTGACCGATCTTTATGGGCAAATCTACGTGGCACGAGATATTGCAAGCCGAGTGCGATAAGGGTTGATGTATTTTATAAGCGACTGCATGTTCCTTACCTTGAATCGTGATTCTGCGACCCGTAGGTCTCTATTTCTAGCTTCCTTTAAGCTTTGAGCGATAAATCTTCATTCTTGGCTGTTGCATGTAACGCATATCCGTAGTAATCGAGAAAATTGGCGGGTGTAATAAACGTACGGAAATGGTAACGGTCGTAACCAACTCTGTCTCCGAAACCGGCTCGGAGCAAACACTTAATTCTTCCCTGAATAACCTCCGATCGCAATTCATATCCACATATGTTGTTACGTGATCGGGGTATGGAGGACGCAAGCAATCGGCCGCGAATCACGAGAAAACATTCGGGCTGCAAGCCTTGTCGACGGCGAGGCAAAAAGGTCAGTTGTCTCCAGGGGTATAAGTAATCGGACTAACCCTGCTCATTATCCCGACAGTGCGATGAATCAAGACCGCGTTGCCGAGCTTGCGCCCGGCTATCCTTGGAATGTATCTATGGCATTGACTACAGCTTCCATCACATCATTCCGACGCACTTGCAACGACAGCCGACCGCTCTGGCAGTGGGATCCCGGTCAGCTCCTCTTACCCCAAGAATTGCCAGAGCTCTGGACTGTGGGGATAATCTTGAGACGTGCTACATAAGCCACTTCCAGAGGCATGTGCGACATCTGCTCCCCGCATCCCCTTTGCCATCTACAGACACGACTTTCCTCTCCCCATACCTCCGAGCTGCCGCCTTGTGCATTTCCGCATCCAATCTCTCAATGTTGGATGCGCAAGTACAGAGTCGTATCCTCGTGGGAAGCCATCGTCAGTCTTGGTTTAGCCCTCTGGTCAATAGCTTACATCACGCCAAAGCACGGGACTATCACGATCGCGCATTACAACTCTGCCGCATGGTGGACATGAAAGAGCTCTCGGATGACGCCCCTGCTATTCTTGTAACAAAAATTCTTCTGGCATACTACCATCACGCGTCGACCAACCACCGACGCTTTCGGTCGGCGGTGTGGGATACTGTTGAATTTGTCTCTCGAAATAGGGAGTACATCATGCGGTCCGCGGGGGGTATGGAGGCCCTGCAAATGTGGCATCGCTTATGTGTTTCTCATCGTCTATCTAAGCCACCATCACTGCTTCTGGAGGGAGAGGGCAGAAGTTCGTTCAGTCCAAGTTGTTTTCCAGACGCCACGGACCAATTATATCTTGGCACCGTTTTGGGGATGAGCATGGATGACCTGATCTACGACATTCTTATCAAATCTATGGAGATCCGCTCGCGACTACTAGTGTTCCGCTGTGTTGCCTACCATTACCGGATTCCCGAGTCATCAAGAGAGGTTGGTGGTCTCGCGCACGGTCTCCTGAACCAGATGTTAGGCAGACCCTTTGTCCTCGAGGAGCTTTCCGAGGCCCAGAAAGGCTTTGTGCGTGGCTCGCACCTACTGGGGCTGTTGCAGGTGCAAAAGCAACGGTTATCTGTGTGGAAAGCTCTCCGGGACACGGAACAATCGCCTGTCAGTCGCCAGGCAGACAACCATCGTAATCAGGTGTCACCAGGAGAGTGGAGCCTCGCAACTCATCGAGATGCGATGAATACCCTGTATCAGATACTTTGCGAGATGATCTTTGAGGAAGCCTACGCGGTGTATGCATCTGACTTCGCGTCGGAGCAGCACTCTGCCGCGACTGCGCTTTCTCGTCTGGCAGAGAACTTCTGCCACATTGTGAGCACCTTAGATTTTGCCGCAGTAGGCACGGCCGATTTGTACACCTTTAGTCTGGCCGAAAGTCTCCTTCAATTGGTCGTTCTCTGGCGGTCCGATAGTTTGTTTCACTTCATTCTGGACGTGGCGTGGCCGAACATGGAGGGGAAGACTAGAGGATTCGAGCACTCGCACTATCCCACTCACCTCGCGAAGCGGATCATCTCCCTGGTGGCGGATTATTGGTCCCGGGGGCAGACTGTGACCCTTGTGTTGCCCGCCGTTCCAGAGGATATCCCGAAAGTGAGACTCCTCGACCTCAACCATCCAATGGAAATGGTGATTTGCGGGCATGATCCCGACTACACCGCGTGGATGAATAAGATTCTTCTCCCTTGAGCAAGGGAGCTAAACCCGATCGGGTCAAATTATACGCGGTAACACCGTTACGCGGGGAGAGTGGATCCCACCCTGCGTACTCTCGTATTGCTGGTCATGTTTCCATGTTATCCATGTTTCCATGATACTACTCGGTACGGTCGTGGCTATAAAGGCAACAGGTTGACCATCAAGAATTCGATTCCCATTCACTCATCACCTACCTCCTTTTTGTTTGCAGACATCGGTTCACAATGCCGCGTGCTATCTGGACTAAAATTCTCTCGGATGTCGCCATCAAGCGATCCTCCCAAACTCTCGCCATCCTCGACAGCAACGCATATATCTATGGCGGAGAGCTGCGGCCAAGAGAACCAGTCGATTCTGCGGTGTACCGTCTGTCTTTGGACACTTGTAGGTCGCCATAGTCTCTGCCACTCGTCAGGATCTTCTAAAAAAAATTACATTGATTGACACAAACTAGCAAAATCCAGCACCCACAATGTCATACAGACATCCCCGTCTGCCAGTCACCCCCAACCCCGCGTAGGTTCCGCCTCGACCGCGCTTTCTGGGAAACTCTACATCTTCTCTGGCCGGGGCGGTATTGCCATGGCCCCGATCGAGGAATCCGGCACCTTTTGGGTCTTTGATCCGACCCAGAACACCTGGTCCCGATTGGCCCCTGCAACCTCGAACTCGCAATACCCTGTGGGCCGCAGCTACCACACGCTCACCAATAATGGCACGGACACTATCTATTTGCACGGTGGCTGTCCATCCAGTGGCCGTCTACGCGACCTTTGGGCTTTCAATATCCACTCCCGGCAATGGCTAGAGTTGCCCCCGGCACCCGGCCCGGAACGAGGCGGCGCGTCAATCGCATACGCTAATCAGCGAGTTTACCGGATGAACGGATTTGACGGGGCCAAGGAGCAAGGCGGGTCCCTGGACGAGTACGATGTACAGACGAACGAGTGGACCAGTCTCACGTATGCATCGGATGGAATCTCCGGGCCTAGTCCGCGAAGCGTGGGGTGCTTGCTCGCCACGATGATTGGTGGGAGGCAGTCACTGGTAACAATGTTTGGCGAGCATGATCCCAGTAGCCTGGGACACCAGGGTGCCGGAAAGATGCTGGCGGATATATGGGCGTTTGATCTCCAATCTCAGCGGTGGGCACAGGTGGATATTGCGGAGCCGAACAGACCTCCGGCGCGTGGCTGGTTTGATGCGGACGTCATCGGCCCTAAAGCAGATGCCAATCCTGGAAGCATAGTAATTCACGGTGGACTTGCTGAGTCAAATGAGCGGTTGGATGATGTGTGGCGACTAGATTTTGTCTAGTCCTGCTGTTGTTAGGCAATGGACTATTGTAGGTCTACTTTATACTACATTAGGTTTATATCTTCTCTTAGACTCAAATTCAATGATTCTGAGTGCGAAAGCATGTCTGGATGATAACTAAACAGGCTGGTAGGAGAACAACAGTCAATTATTGGATGGCTACACTATGTGACATGAGAACTCAGACAGCAGGCCATCAGCATTATCTCATCAAGATACCTACACAGCATCATTAAGGGAAAATCCTTACAACAAGGTGCTGGCTGCAACAGGCTCAGTCAGCACAGTAGAACGCATGATTCTCGACCCCATCAAGTTTGCCTTTGTAGTGGTTTAGCGAACGATCTATGCCAGATGACAGTACTTCTCACTTCCCTTCCTATGTCTTGCAGCTTCACGGGGCCGATCTCTAGGTACATGATATCTGAAAGCTCCTGTAAAAGTTCCCCTCCTTCCCGCTCAACCGGCCTCCTCCTGCTGCAACGATACAGGCAGGAGTAGCCACCTTACCAAACTCTCTAAAAGCACCAGTACAGTTCTCCTCGGCAAAAAGATATGGAGCACAGTTATCTGCCAACCTGGTCACCCACATACTAAAGCTCTCTTTCACAGACACACAATCACCCGGTAGTGTCGTTTGGCCGGTGATAGTTTCCGCAGTAAAGTTACTGCATGCCGGTGCATCTGGTCCACTATTTGCAATAGCATAGGCCGTGCTGTTGAAAATGCGCTCCAGGTCACTGATGAAGAGCGAGGACTTGAAATTCTCAAGCTCTTGTGTCTTTTTCACTGCGATTGAGGCGACGATGAGTGCCACTACAGCGCAGAGCGACAACAGAATGATGAAGATATTGAGCACCAGGGTCTTCGTCTTTGACATCCCAGACTTTTGCTTGGACGAGATGGGGATCTGCTCGACAGAAATGGGTTCAACCATTGAGCAGGGTTGGGTGGCTGGGCCTAGAACAATTCTCGATCTTTCAGACGCTTTTCTTGGGCAGTGTTGTCATTGCTTACCGTCACCAAGAAACCAATCTTAGGGGCACTTTATATTAGGGCAATTCACGTTCTTGCGGTCGTTGGGTGTTTCAGTACAAAATCGGAGAGTTTCAGAAAATTAACGAAGTGGTTGCTGGTATATCAGTCAGCCACACTCGGACGAGTGGGTCGAAAATACTTATATCCTTCTCATGCTATGAATCGCCTTACGGGGCATGATAAAGCCTGGATAGAACTTTAATGGCAATCCCACAGAATACCTCACACATGATCACCTGTGAGCTCCTAGCCCAAGGAACAAGGCACCCAATGGTGGAGAGCATGCTGGGATTCTTAACTCAGGCTATTTGTTAGGCTATATTATTTTGAACCTACCCTATCAGAAATGAAAGACGGTGTGTCAAAATACCTCACCACAAAACGGTCTCGCGCTAATGTAGGGGTCCAAGGGTTCCAGCGATAGGAAGACACCTGCCCAGTAGAGATGCACCTTGGCAGCTCCGCGCTCATCTTTCAAAGCAAGTGCTACTAGGCAGACCCTGCGTGTACACGAGAGAAAAAAAAATGAAGAAGAAAAGAAAGGAAAGAAAGAAAAACCCTCAGTGATATTCCATCTATTGTAGATGAAAGATTTGGTGAACCCGTGTCCCTTGTAAATGGAGTACCTGAGTGACCACGTAGCATTGATGAGGAGATCACACATGGCGTAGATGAACGGCCGCCTAGTTTACCCTATCATGAACCAAAAACCCTTATTGGTCTAAAGGGCTAGTACCTGTGCCTCAGCTGAAAGAAGATACTATGGGTAGAATGATATTACTTGTGGGTCTACCTGCATACTAGGTCAGCAAATTGAATCCGCCCTCTTTTATAGAGAGATGTCTGAGAACCGGACTCCGTCGGCCATGCTGATCCGCACGAGATTAGCCAAGATGGCACGTCGAGGAGCCGAAACCAAGGATCAAGGACATCAATCTGTACATTGTAGGGCCATTCCGATTTCTTCCCCGGGCAGATAATGTAAAGTCATACGTCATTGAATCGTTCAAAGTTATTTGCTATATTCGCAGAATCAGGTGCAAACGTATCTGTGGCAGGGTAGTCGGGGTATGATGCGACTCGACTTTTCTTGACCAGGAACGCGAACGGGGGTGAGAAAGTCTCAGTTCAAGAGCCGGGGCGGAGACTCATACTCGTGAATAAAATTAATTGTCTATCCTATATAATTCATCCTCCGGCATATGTGCAGCGACCATAATATACATAAGTGACCGATTCGCCCACTCAGTGAGTTAAGCGGTTCACAATAACTCCCACTACATTTTCCTCCCAAGGAAAGTATACCAATCATAACAGCAGATCGAGACAGCAACAACATGCAAAGGCCGAAAGAAGGCCTGTGCAACATTCCTCTTCTCCTGACGCTTGGTTACTCTGCTGTATACGTTCTGGGGGGACTTGTTGAGCCGCCATCGGGGCTGGATATTGCATCGACTGTGGCGGTGGGCCTTGTGGTGGATAAGCCGGCCCTTGAGGGTATCCATAGGTTGCAGCTGGCTGGGGTATTTGGGGAGGAGGGCCCGCGTAGAAATTTGGTGGAGGACCAGGCTAGAGGTTGTTAGTCGACTGTTTCACCTCACATAAGCTTTCAAATCTTACCGGAGGCTGGTATCGACGTTCGTTTTCTGCCATGTTTCCTTGAATCGTGAATATATGACAACCTATACTAGACTCCGAGGGGCTTCGAAGCTCTGTACAACGTGTATGGCTGCTGATTTGCACTGGATAGAGACCAATAGTGTAGAGGGAAAAAAATAAAATGAAATCTGTTTTCAGGACATATGAACTCATTAATGTACGCCGTAACCATCGCCGCCGGAAGAATATAACTGCCTGTTTGCACGGAGAAGCCGGAACCCAGTGGATACTCCCGTTCTTCAGGCCTCAATAACCTACCAATGGCCAACTAGATAACCTATTCCGAGGTATACACCATGGTTGAGCTATTATCACCTATACATGGCCAGATGCTGGCATCTAATCGGAGACTGTAATGGGGTAACAGTCCAGCGGATGCATAGAGGTGATGATAGTCGGCCACAGTCGAGGACCTCACGGGAGATAATGTGAATTGCACTGCCAACACACCGACGGCAACGTACTATCTATGGATGTCTCTTCGGGATAAATATTTTAAGGCTGGGGGGAGCTTCTCAGAAATGATCGGATCAGCCTAATACTATCGTGACGAGAGTGGTTCCTCGTAGCTCGGATATTCTCTGGAAGGCTCCCTGGAATTCGTTGCCACGTTGGCCAGCTGCACAGCCTCCTGCAAGACATTCGGCCGGCTGAATATGTGATAGGATGCGTTGGATGCCCTCACCATCAATAGTTGGTTCCCCAGTTGTTCGGCATGGGATAGAACAAGCCTCTGCGCTGGTCGGGATGATGTCAAGTGGCGCAGGCGCCTAAATACTTTACCGGCCAACTCGGCCCGCCATATCCGGAGCCTTATTTAAGAGGAGATATAGATCCACTCGGTATATCCCGTCTGTCATCTTTTACTCTCAATCACAACATGGACCAGTACTTGCTTTCATTTCCTTAAAATATCCCCCCAAGTTGTTCCAACCCATAAGGCGTCAAGATGCCTCCACCCGCCCCTATGGTTCCCGAGGGCTGGAAAGCCGAATTTGATGACCGATATCAGGAATGGTAAGCATCTAATGTTTTTCGTGTTTTCCTCTCAACTCTTCCCTTACTAATAGCCTGTTACTGTTTAGGTACTATGTCAATCTTCACACCGGACGCTCGCAATGGGAACGACCAGACCGGCCAGCCCAACCTGATGGCGCGGCTCCCCCTCCCAATGGTCCCCCACCCAGTTACGAGGCCACCACGCGTGATCGACAAGATCCAGATCCACGAGCTCGGGATCGTCCGGATGCCTACTACTCCTCCCCGCGACCTGCGTCGCAGTCCAACTATGCGCCGAATCGAGGGGAAGGGCCCTATGGCTACCCGCAGCCCCAGTACGGGTACAATGGCTACGGCTATAACCCTGCGTATCCCCCGCAACCTGCCTACCCCAATCAATATCAATATCCCAATGCATACCAGAACGGTCCAGATCAAGCCCAAGCCCCGCGCAATCAGAAGCAGAAGAAAGGCATGGGCAAGATGGGGGCCGCTGCCCTGGGAGTGGGCGGAGGATTGCTGGGAGGATTCCTGCTCGGAGAAGGCATCGAGGCGTTGGAGGATGATTTTGATGGTCCACCACCCCCAGGACCGGACTTTGACGATTTTGGAGGAGGATTTGGTCCCTTCTAGTGCTTTGATTGTGGTTATTTTTGCGACGGCGACATGATGCCTTGTAGGAGAGATGTTTGTGCCAACTCGATACCCAATAGACTTCAATACAGACTCCTTCAGCCACTATACCAGTGGATATCAAGCTTTCGATCGGTTTAAGATGGGAAAATGGGTGTACTCGTACACTGCGTTGAGGGGTGGAAGATATGATAGGTTGTCGCTTCATATTTTTCTCTCCCCCCTTGGTGGGTTGATAGCGTAATCTAGAACCCCATTAGATAGACTCACCGCAGGCAGTGGCAGCCAAGATGCTGTCATACCCAGCAAAATTCGTCCCGTTTCACATGATGGGAGAGCGGGGCTATTATCCACTTCTTCTCTGGGTAATATTGCCATGGATTGTCCGTGCATACTAGTTAACAGGGGAGGGGAAGGGTATGCTCCCCGCAGTGGGCTAAACCCCGATCCAAGGGACGTCTGGAAGATGGTGCCCGGGTCCACCTGTGGATGAAACTTTAAATAACTTTGATTCTCTTCTCAGGCATGTTAATTCCGATGGGAATAGAAAGGTCCCCACACCCCACAAGTCGCAGGGAATCACTATTACTGTCCGCTTGATGCTGGCGCTGGCGCTGGCTGGACCGAAAAACCCCACCCGACATGTCTATCATATTAGGACAAAGGTTATAGGCACCGATTCTTCATGTTGCTTAGTGACTCATTTGTGAGTTGAGTCCACCACCCTTCTCTCCTGCAGAAGGCCTCAGCGATTTATCTCATGGTTGAACAAGTTGGACTCCGGTCGGAAAAGACAGCCAGTGAGTGGTAGATTTCCACCAACCATCACTGTATTGTACTTAGTAGACTGAGGGTGGCAAGAATCGGAACACAACAACCACTCAATTTACCTCTTCGACACCTGGGTATCCCCAGTGGCAGACCAGTGAGTTGCAAGTGATCCTCGTATTGTGATTGCTGGTATTCCCGGACAAGACCTGCACCTTGACTGGAATTTACGGGTCTCGGTTTCCGGCCCTCCTTGGCTTTTCTGGAGCCCCGATACACGATGATCTGACCGACACCCCGGCTTGCTGGTGCTGGTGCATCTTTCGAGGATTAGCAGACCAAGAGAATTACAATCATACATTGATGCCATTTTATGCTCTTCCAGTCTACAAAGTTCTCACCACTTTGGACAGTCGATCAGCCTTGACCTGAGTCTCTCACAACTGGCGGTGTCAACCAAGCAGAGATCTGCCGTGCAACATTTGAACCAGTTGGCGGCTTTGCCGATCTCTGCGGAAATTCCCCGCGTCTTTCGTAAGCCGCGTGAGAAGCGACTAACTAGTCGAGTTAACTAGTTTACTGGGATTTTTGTTAGTGAATAATTAATTTGTTGGCTATACCTTTCTTTTCCTTCACTGGTTCTTGGGGTGGCACCAAAGGTGGCACCAATTACGCCTTCCTCTTTCAATTCCCCCGCCCTTCGTCAGCTATCCTCGGACGACTACTTCTTCGACGGTCTTCCCTCAACCCTTCGCGCCATCGCTCGCAATGGCGGACATGGGGGAAATGGAGTCCAACATGTCCAGCGCGCAGGAGAAGGAACCATCCTCCACCACGGCACTCCACGAATTACCACCGAATGATGAGGGTCGCCCCGCGGTCTTTTCCTCCACCGTTCAGGAGATCCTCTTTGTCGCCGTGGCCACCATGGCCATTGCCATGTCCTCGCTCCTGACCGGCAGTGTCACCGTCCTCACCTCACAAGTACAGACGGATCTGGGCATGACCACCGCTGAACTCACCTGGCTAGCCGGTTCCTCCTCGTGCGACATCCCTCATTTCCTCCTCTATGTCCCTTTTTGTATCCGTGTGTCTAATTATGAGCAATCTCTAGGCTCGCCTGTGGCTCCTTTCTCCTCTGCTTCGGCCGCCTGGCAGATCTGTTTGGCCGCAAGACACTCTTTCTCGGCAGTCTCGTCTTCTATGCTGTCTTCGCTCTGGGTGCCGGATTCTCCCAGAAGCCCCTACAGCTGGACGTGCTGAACGGCGTGATGGGTCTGATGTCAGCTGCCTCGATCCCGCCAGCGCAGGGGATGCTGGCCAGCCTCTACCCGCGCCCGTCCAAGCGCAAGAATCGGGTGTTTGCCTGTTTCAGCGCCGGCAATCCTCTGGGTTTCGTGTTTGGCACCATATTCTCGGGTATTGCAACCCAGCTGTTTAACTGGCGAGCGAGCTTCTTCTTGTTAGCGATCATTTACGTCGTGGTTGTGGCAGTCGCACTTTGGGTGGTGCCGACGGACCATGGAGCCAAAGAGCCTATGTCCCTCCTCGCTCTGAAAAAATTCGACGTTGTCGGGACCATTCTGACCATCGCTGGGATTGGCATGTTTTCGGGCGCCTTGAGGTGCGTTGCCTGACTGTCTTCATCATACCCTCCCCTTATCTTTCACAACTGACAGTGGATTCGGTTCTAGTCTTGGCTCGGATGCCCCTTCTGGGTGGAAGACGCCATACGTCCTCGTGCTACTCATCCTGGGCGCGCTGTTCATAATTGGCTTCGTCTTCTGGGAGCGGTGGTATGAGTACCCCCTGGTGCCCATGTTCATCTGGCGCGACCGGGACTTCTCCTTGGTCATCACGATTCTGCTGCTGGGCTTTCTCGCCTTTCCCATCATGACCTTCTGGATCTCGCTGTTTCTGCAGGAACTCCGGCACTACTCCGCCCTCATGGTGGCCGTGCACCTGCTCCCCATGGCGATTGGCGGCATCCTGGTCAACATTGTGGCGGGGCTCATCATGCATCGGGTATCAAACACGTTGCTCATGACGGTCGGGGCCACGGCGTACACGGGGGCCTTCCTGCTCATGGGGCTCCAGCATTCGAGCAGCAGCTACTGGGCATTCATCTTCCCCGGGTTACTGCTGGCGGTGATAGGGGCGGATTTTCAGTTCTGCGTCGCAAACATGTATGTGATGAGCGCATTGCCAGCCGACCAGCAGAGTATTGCTGGTGGCATCTTGCAGACGGTGACCAAGCTGTGCGTGACGATCGGGATGGGCATCAGCACGGCCATCTTCGATGCCGTCGAGGCGGGCGGGCCCACCAGCCATGGGTACTTTGCCGGGGATGCAATCGCCCCGTACAGCGCCACCTTGCTCTACTGTGCTGGAATATCGGCCGTCGGCATTCCCTTGTGTGCCTTTCTGCGTATCGGAAGACAGGGACATGGCGGGGATGACAAGGCGCGGGCGGCGGTGGGGAAGCGAAGCAGTTGGTGTGGGCGACGCAGGACCAAGCAGGAAGCGATCGAGGATGAACATATGGGCTCGACAGTATAGTCAAAAAATGGGAGGTACCTCATGTGTCTTGTATATTGTGTAAGTCGAGAATTGAGATCAATGGGCCACATAACTGTTGTAAACATCCTACTAGGATTTCCGATAGGTACCAACCATCCCCGAGGATGTGCTGCAGGAGGGCAATGACGTCACAGACGAAGGCGAGCCTTGTCCTAATGAAGGGAGAAAAGATGCTATGCGAAGCAGTAGATAAACTAGGTACCAGATACCATTTGGAGGCGATTTAGAGTTCTACAGCGATGACTGTCAGATGGTTGTGTCAGTCCATCCGTCAGGGCAACCCTGGATTCCCCCGCCCTATACGTCATTGCTTCGCTACTCTTCCTGCTCCCCTTCCAGATGAACTATCTGTCCTCGAAATCTCCCTTCGCAATCTTGCTTTCTCTTTCGATTTTTCTTGAAAATTTCATTTCATCTCACCTTCCCTCCTCCCTAACCTGCTGGCTCTCGTTTCGCCATCTCCAACATCTCCGCCATGTCTCTCAGTTCCGCGACCGGCAACCTGGCTGGCCGTCCGCCCAAGTTGACCAATGACCTCAAATCCACCGTCCAGCAAACCCAGGACACCACCACGCAAACTGCCACTCACTTGTCCGACTCGGTCCTCCCCGGTGAATATCCTGGCGACTCAGATCACATCCATGATGCACAGCGCGACGACACCAACAACGGACCCGTGCTGGCGCCTCTCCAGCAGTGGTGTCGCCAGTCCCTCCCCCGTCTGCTCGATCGCTTCGAAGCCCATCTCGCCGGACTGCTTTCCTGGATCCTACCAGCACCGCGTCAGGCCTGGCTGTACGATGAGGCCGCGCGCCGTCCCGCCAGCACCACCTTTCTCATCTGCCAGGCCATCTGCTGCGGTGTGCCCTTGCTCGTCTTTCTCGCCGGTGTCTTTGTCTTCGCTGCGGTCGCCATTCTTCTCTGGGCGATACTGTCGGTTCTCATCCTGGGGCCGGTGCTCCTGGTAGCCAGCATGATGGGCGTGTCGCTGTGGGGTTGGGGTTGGTTGCTGTACGGCCTCGTCAAGTGGATCGATGAAAAATACCTGGGCGGGTTGATCTCTCGGTTCTGGCTGTCGCGTATGCCATCGCCGGAGGGTCAGGATCAGGAGTCGGCAGAAGGACAGGATGGAACCCAAGAGAAGAAAGCACAGTAAGGTGACTAGTGATGCTGAATGTTCTTCATTCTGTTTGATGATTCATGATGATCTTAATTCTTGAATTTGTTAGGCCTTCTTGTATCTACCGTAGGTCAGTTCTCTTCAGATTGTATATATATTTGGAAGCAGTAGCTCGTTCGGCATGTCCTTTGAGTGCACCTTCGTCGCCGTTGACTGCATCAAATAGTAGTTTATGTGATATTGTTAAAGTATCTAAACATTTCTGAGTCTTCGACTACTTAGAACTGAGCAGTACTACTATCAAGTTGTTATAATGGATGTTAGTAATACATTGTGCCTGTGTAGCTCAGAATCTCCGAAGCATTCCCGCTGACACACACAATCTCGGCTACTGCGGTCAAGTTCTTATTTTTATTTTCTACTAGCTTGGGGATGACAAGAGTCTGGAATCATGGCTCACCGGCGAGACCAACGTGCCCCTCTTTTCTTTTCTTTTTCTTCTATCCTTTCTCGCACTAATTACAACACTACAAAGTAGCTCAGCCCTCTCTAGATATTCACTGGATACTAGTTGTCCTCCTTACGTACCGACGCACGGCAAGTGGGTCATCCAACAGGGTCCAACAAGAATTTTTTTTTCTGCTCCTTTCAAGGCCCCCTTCGTCTTCATGACAGCCTCTGCGTTGATTCTGCATCGTAAGTGTTTAAATTAGGTGTTGTAAGAGGTGTTGGAAATAATGGTGATATGGTATCAGCAATCTGGGGGAAAGGAGCAATGGGAAAGTAAGTGGGGATCCGGTCATCCTCTCCTCTCCTCCATCTGGTTCGGGGATCGACCATGGTTAGTCATTGGCCAGTAATCAACCATTCTTTTCCTTCTCTATCCGCGGAGATTGAATGGCCTGAGCAGAGAAGAATGCTTAACTCCATCTAACCGGCCAACCAGAGCATCGGACATTATCGGAACTGGGTCTGCTCTACTATCTTTTTTATCTGATGATAATCGGTTCTGCGGCCGGTGCCGGGGCCTGTTGTAGGGCTCCCGCCAAAGCTTCCCTTCAACTTAAATTTCTGCCCTGTCCCTACCCTCCAGGGGCACCAGTTTGATCCCTCCGCAAAGTCAGTCTGCAGAAACACCCCCGATGCGCGAAAGCACGTCCGACAAGAGGGCGGCAGAAACGGTGGTGGCCGACCAGGAGGTGGGAAATGGTTCGCCGGCAGCCTACCGTCCCACGCGTTGGCAGAGCAATTTGACCATCTTGAGCTGCGTGAGTCAAAGCCAATGATTTTTTTCATTTTCCATTCTTCCCCCAACTGAAATCTACCACCGGATGCGTCGCTGACCAGTCTCTGTCAGTATATCGCCAATTTCAGCGATGGCTTTCAAAACCAATTGGCCAACCCCACCAATGTCATCTTCAAGAAACTGCTGGGCAAATCCGGCTACCCATCGGAGATGCAGACCCGCATCAGCAATTCACTGCTCATCGGTGCGATCCTGGGAGTGGTTGTGCTGGGATACGTCTCCGACATGGCCTCCCGACGCGCGGGTCTCCTCTTCACCTCGGGCCTGGTCACCATCTCCACGCTGATGGCCACCCTGGCCCTACAGGTGCACCCTTCTTACAACATGCTCTGGTACTTTGTCATCGTCCGTGGCATCTGTGGGTTTGGAGTGGGCGGGGAATACCCTCCCAGTGCTGCGGCCGGTCTGGAAGAATCTGACGATGTATGTGTCCCATCCCCTTCTCCCCTGCCAGCGCACTAGGAAGCAGACCATAATGAAGAACTTCAAGAATGTGCAGCTAAACTGAATGTTTGCATCTAGTTCCAGCGCCGCTACCGTGGCCCCGTCTTCGTCTCCTTCACCACGCTGATGGCCACCACCGCCTCTCCCATTCTGATGATCATCTACCTGATCTGCCTCAAGGCCACCGATAACAACCTGCCCGTCACCTTTCACGCCATCTACAGCATTGCCACCATCTTGCCCGCCATCATCATGGTCTTGCGATTTTTCATGACCGACTCGACCTTGTACCACCATTCCAACTTCAAGCGCCAACGGAAGCCCGCCCGATTCTACTGGGTGCTGGTGCGCCGCTACTGGAAGCGCCTCTTCACCACCTCATTGGCCTTCTTCCTCTACGACTTCATCAACTTCCCCAACAGCATCATGTCGAGCACCATCATCTCCTCGCTCGTCAAGGATGGCAACATCCAGACCACCGCCATCTGGCAAGTCATCCTAGCTGCGCTGCCCGTCCCCGGCGTCATCATCGGCGCCTGGCTGACCAATTCGATCGGACGCCGGTACACCGGAATGGCCGGATTCGCGGGCTACGTGGTCCTGGGGTTCATCATCGGTGGCACCTACACCAAGCTCTCCCAGCATATCGCGGCCTTTGTGGTGCTCTACGGACTGCTGCAGGCCTTTGGACACATGGGGCCGGGCGCCACGATCGGCCTCATCTCCACCGAATCCTTCCCCACCGCCCTGCGCGGCATGGGATACAGTGTGGCTACGGCTTTCGGTCGCACGGGAGCGGCGGTGGGCACGCAGTGTTTTACGCCCTTGCAGGATGCGGCCGGAGACAGCGCCACCTTCTACCTTCTCGGTGGCGTGGCGATTCTGGGCATGATTGTGTACTGGTTCCTGCCGGAAAGCGGCAAGTTGGATCTGGAGAAGGAGGATCGCGAGCTGGAAGAGTATCTGGCTGGGCATGGGTTCGTGATGGAGAAGAATTACTGATTGTAGATACTACTGGTATATATGTCTTATAGACAGCTATAATGTCCGAAATGTGAAATGACAACGATCATGATCGCTATGAACTTCACCTATCCTAGCTTGGATGTATTAACCTTCTATGTTTCCTTCGAGCCCATTCTATGCTAATCCATCTCCCAGCCGGACACAGATGGATAGCTGTATTCTCAGAGTCCGCTCGTCCAGGAAGATCTGCTGGGTGCCTCGTTTCCACGCCCATGTCCATCGTAGCCACTAAATGTTCATTCAGTTTTCGGTAGGGTGAAAGGTATCATCTTAGGTCAACTGACGGCACTTGTTGATGGTTCCTCGGATTTGTGGGTTAGGTAGGGCATGTAGCACCTCGGCCCGGCTGATTGCCAGCAGCAGAAGATGACCGCGCAACATAACCGAGGGAAATGGCCAGGATACGACTGGCCCCTGTGCAATATCACTAGCTCTTTTCCTCCTTCTTCAATGCTTTGCGCTACCGGTACAACGCATTGTGAGAGGGACTTGAGTGATGTAGTGCTGCGTGAGGAGACGTCGGTAACACGTTCCCGCATGCGACACAATAAGATCCTGTCATTTGTGATTCGATATAGCCTCCAAGGTGCCTGATCACCGCTGTGCCGCTTATTAGCAATCAGATCTTCAGCTAAGCTACAAGTCGGAGATGGGATTGGCTGCTCTATTCAGCGATTGCGTGCAGTAGTACCATTTTTTATCAATCCACGTGTCGCATGAGTTCCGGCCATAATTCACCGGTCGGACTGTCGGTTACTTTCTTCACGAATGAGCAGACCGAGAAGTATTGGCCATGCTGAGATGTGACCAAAGTGACTGAGCTCCCATTGGGCTGGGAGAGTGGGCGAGAATTGCCGTCACTTATTGGTCACTGCCATCTGGAGTCACCCTGAGCCTTTTCCGAAAATGGTGATTGCAATCGAGAGAACATTATGACAAAACAAGTTCATCCCAGAAGATCCAATAAATGTTGTGCTGAGAGTGGGGAGTGTGTGAAGAACACGATGGAAGCAATTCACGCCATTCCAGCCCGCAGCAGCCATGATGATGACATGCGACCGGGACGATCGAAATAGTTTAGTAGTGAGCAGGATAGGTCAAGACGGTTTGACACGCGACCCACGCGGGGAGACGATAAGCCAGACAGAATACATTGTAGATAAACTAGATAAACTAACGCGATAACTATACGATCCAAGCAATGAAAATGTTCTTCCTCGCCATTTTGGGGCTTATCACGCCATATCCACTTCCGCCTCATCTGCCAATCAAACCCTCGACATCCTCAAACTATCCCAACCAGATTCTTCTCTCTTGTCTCTCTCCCTCTCTCTCTTGACCCTTTGTTTACTTGATAAATTAAATACTTCTTCTTCTGCTGCAGGGCTCGTCGATCCTTGCATTCCGATCGAGTCAACTTCCCACTAGAATCTGCTAGTTGATTTCCAGCAGTTCTCACCCTGCAATCATGACAGCTCCTCCGATGTATCGCCAGGAGAAGCTGGAAGAGGCGCCCACTGATGTGGCCGAGCTGACATCCGACGAGTCCACTTCCACCGAGATCTGGAATGCCTTGGTGACCGAAGGTAGGCTGCAAACTCCAAATCGACAACTTTGGGAAGACCGAGGCTAAGGATATAGACCATCAACATGAGATTCAACTTCGAACCATGTCCTGGCAAAAAGCCGCCTGGTTGCTTGCTGGAGACCAAGTCTGTCTGGCTATCATGGCTCAATCCTGGTCACTCTCGTAAGTCAACAGAGATTTTCATCTATTGGCCCGTGAACTGACCATCATCATTGGGTCCCCTTAGCGTACTGGGATGGGTACCCGGCATCATTACCATGGTTGTGTCCGGCGCTCTCTTCTGGGTCACTTCCCTCACCATGCACAAGTACATCATGAAGCACCCGCAAATCAAGAACATTTGTAGGAACTCCGCTCTCTCTCCATCTCTCTGATGTCCCCTGTGATGGAATATTGAGGCTGACTTGAGCTCGTCTCCCCCCGGAACAGGTGACTTTGGCTACTATGTCTTCGGCAAAAGCCAGACGGCATACATCTTTTCCGGCTTCATGTTGCTGGCTAACAACATCCTGCTGATCGGTTTCCATATCCTGACTGGAGCCAAGGTGCTGGATACTTTGTCCAGTCACTCGCTGTGTACCGTGACCTTCTCCGCGATCGTGATGGTCATGGGCATCGTCCTGTCCGCTCCACGAACCCTGCATCATGTCTCTTTCATGTCGATGTTTTCGGGTAAGTTATGATCCACTCCACCGCAATGTCTGCGCCCTGTATTTCGCTAACAATATCAGCGGCCTGCATGGGTATTGCCATCCTATTGTTCCTTATCTTCGCGGGCATTGAGAAGGCACCCCTGGATTATCCGACCGATGGACCTGTGCGAACATACGCCTTCCCCTTGCCCGGCACCAGCTGGGTGGATTGCATGAATGCCGTCTTGAACATCACCTTCCTCTGGGTGCCCCAGATTCTCTTCCCCACGTTCATCGCCGAGATGGAGCATCCGGAGGACTTCCCCAAGTCACTGGCGGTCCTGGCTACCATTTCCACCATCCTCTTCATCATGCCGCCCGCCATCGGCTTTCACTATCTAGGCCAATACGCCACTGCGCCTGCCTTTGGCAGTCTAGGCCTCGTCGCGTACAGGAAAGCCTCGTTTGGTTTTGTCATCGTGCCCACGCTGATCATCGGCGCCATCTACGCCAACGTCACCGCCAAGTTCATTTATTCCCATCTGTTGGGCACCTCCAGACACGCGCACAGCAACACCGTCGTGGGCTGGGGCGTCTGGGCTCTGGTCATGATTGGCATCTGGGTGGTGGGATTCATCTTCTCCGAGGTCATTCCCAGCATGGGCGACTTTCTCTCGCTGCTGGGTGCCGCCTTTGACTCGTTTTTCGGCTTCATCTTCTTCGCGGTGGCCTACTGGCATCTCTACCGGGGGAAGCTTTTTGTGGGACTCGGGCGCACGGCGATGACCCTGCTGCATGCCTTCGTCATGGCTTGTGGTTTGTTTCTCTTGGGCCCGGGATTGTATGCGGCGGTAGAGGCCATCATCACGGATTACTCGGGATCGGTTTCCCCGGCGTTCAGTTGTGCCAGTCTGGGAATCTGATGGGCGCGGTGGTTCTTCTTTCTTACTCCTTGTATTAATTGCTCGATGCGTCAGCATGCTGCGCTAAGGTTGTTATGATCATGACTCTCTCTCACGATTATCGAGATTTATAGATATTACTTCCCAAATAATAGCCTGAGGGGCTGTTCCTTCCGTCAGCTCAACGGACTGGGCGTCTAACACGCTATAAAAGATATTATATTCAATCGGAGAGGCGTAATGAAACGATCAATGCAAACCGGTTACCCGACCAAATTACTCTCCCGCAGATAGCTTAAACGTCTGGTGGATGCTGACCTGGTTTCCATGACACCAGGCTTCTCCCTCCGGGTTCAGTATCTCCTGGCTGCTATTGGCGTCACTCCGTGGGCTCCCAGCCATCGGCGAGGAAACCGTTGTGACGGTAAGATGATCCATCTGACCAGGAACGAGGTCAGGACGCCAATACCGGGGATCGCGCATGCTCTTCTTCGAGGCCTCTCCTGTCCAGCTAGACAGCGGGTAGGGGCCATCGCTGCCCTGCTTCCCCGGAACCCGGCGACCTTGAGTGCTGGTATTCTCGAGGAACCAGCGGCATAGCGCGCGTAAAGTGACGAGACTGCCAGCTGTAATGCCAAGACCGGTCTCGATGATGGACCAAATGGCGATTTGGTATGTCGAATCTGTCTCGCGTCAGAAACTATGCAGTGTACCAAGAGCCGTTGGGGCGGTCACTTACAGAGGAAATCGGTGTCTCCATAGTGATGAAGAAAGGGAAGTCGAATGATGACAGCAACACTCGCACTGGAGCTGGGTTAGGACGTCACGACTAGAGCATCTCAACGAACAGACACGTACATGGCTCCAAGGCTGAGAATCACGCCTAGTGCGACCTTGGTGCGGCCGTTCATCTGCAGTCGCCAGATCAAGAACACGGGCAAAATTCCTAAAGTGAAGTCGCAGAAGATGGTGATGGCGCTGTACAAGTAGGCAATGGCCAGCAGGGTCTCGATCGACAGGCAGGTTCCCGAATGAGTGGGTTCTAGACGCAACCAGAAGTATGAGACAGGGTGGCAGTCGAAGAGCAGGACCAGCCAAAACATCAAGCCGATGGCTGTGACAACCCCGATGATGGTCCACAGAATGATGCGATGCGCTTGGCGTACAGTCAATCGCAGCAAAGCGAGCGCGATGGATACTTTGGCGACAGCGGAGGCCCAGAGATATAACATCTGACCTAGCCACCACCACTACAGTTCTCCATCTTAGCATTAATGGTTACATACAGACAAGTGAAGGGGACAGATGCCTCTTACCAGCATGGCTTTCTCTATTGTCTTAACACTGGTGAAGTCCAGCATCTTGTGACCCACTCCGGTTTTCGCTCCAATCATGCAGCAGACGTTAAGGAAGATGAACAGCACCTGCCGGAGAGTTAGTTAACTGTCGGTTCCTCGAGCATCATGCATAACCCTCGTCAAGGCGACCGTACCAAAGCAACAATCATCAGCGCGTCATCCCATCCGAAGGCCCGCACCAAGTGCACACGGACAAACGTGCGCAAAGCAACTGCCACTGTGCCTATTCCCATCATCACCGCCGCGACGACGAAGATGGCGAGGCTGCGGCCCACCAAGGGCATCGATTCACTCATCCTGAATCACACGAGATGTTTGGTGGATGCAACTCGGGGACGGGAAAGGAGTCAAAGTGTTGCGGTGCACTTAGGGAATGTCGCGACTTTTCATTGCGGTGGGCATTTGGCTCGTGGGCCCGACTGGATAGAAGCTGGAAAAAGCTGCTGTTTCAGCCACGCGGGTCCGGCTTTTGATGTGCACAGAGCAAGCCATGATAGTTGAAGAGTCGTAGCGAACCAGTGGAGCTGTTTGCGCCCAGGGGCAGCGTTCCTGACTCTCGGTCACGCCTCAGCTGCATGGGATAGGAAGGCCATGACTCTGGGCAGGCCCACCAAAACTGTATGCGAGATTGGCCCTGACTCGATGTTTTGGGGCTGGAACCAATGCGATGGGAGGATGGTAATGCCAATGCGGGCGAGATCGATGCTAGCGGCCCTCGCTACCAAACACTCGCCGCCAACCCCAAGCCCGGCACTCCGGTTCATCCGGAGGACAGTAAAATTTAGTGTATAATTCTATCATCAGGAGTCGATGGAAGGAAGATCTTGATTACTATAATAAACACCACGTGGAGGCCTCGTCTCTTCGGTCTCCCGTCCAACAGTTCGTCAGAGCGTCCACAAGGAGAGTGCACAGATCCCGACGAAGCTATTGACGACCGGCGCCCTTTTTGGGTACAGAAATAGAAAGGGAGGCCCACAGTATGACGGCAATTAATATATTAACAGTTGTTACTATATTGTCATGTGGAAACCTCTACTGATCGAGTATCATCTTGCGCCAACTATTTATCGATAACCTCCGTCCCCATTCTTCGCCTCGACGATCCCTTCCTCCATCCCTACTGTTTCCCTCCCAGTCATCCAAACAGGGTGGCTCACTCCACGTGGCTCACCGAGGCCGCGCTGCTGTCCTTGGACGCATCTGGACCTGCTTGGGCATTCTTCTGTCGCTCGTACTCTGCCTCCTCGCGCTGCCGGTATCGCCAGGGACGCTGCGTGGACACTGCGTCTGGATCCCGCGTAACCAGCAACGGTGGGTTCGAGCGATAGTAGTCGTCCAGGTCTTCCAGAGTCCGATTTGCTGCACCAAGTCAGTGAAGAGTCATCGAGAGGGGGATGTGACCGACTCACCAGTCTCGGGGTAGAAGAAGTAGAAGATGGGCAGAGAGGCCGCGTTCGTGACTGTCCAGACAATCCAGAACCGCCAGCCAATCTGCTGGATGCCAATTGGTGTGATTTCAACAATGGCAAAATTGGTGATCCTATCGCATGCTCAGCCGCTGTGAATAATCCGCACCAACTGCAAGCTGCACCTACCAGTTTGTCGCTGTCGACACGGCTGCACCCTTCGTCCGCATGGGCAGCGAGTTAATCTCGGTCGGATACAGCCAGGGCACCCCCAACATTCCAATGCCGAACGCGATATAATAGAGGAAGAAAAACGCGACCGAAGCAGTCGCGTATCTTGTGTCTATTTCGGCAAAGCGGAGCAGAATGGTGATCACCAAGAAGCAGACGAACTGCCCGAAGGTGGAGAGCAGCATGAGACCACGTCGGCCAAATCGCTCAACCATCGTGACAGCCACGCTGGCAAAGACGAAATACACCGTCGCATTGCATGCGCTGAGCAGTCGCGACATGCTGTTGGAAAGTCCGACCGAGTTGATGAGCACCAGCGGCAGATAGTACGACATGATGTTGATCCCTAGGTGCCGTTAGGTCGACAATTCGAAGACATTGTATCACAGCAACTATCATACCCTGAAACTGCTGCAGCGCTTGAGAGCCGGCCCCCAGCAGCAACCGTCGCAAGGTTTTGGTATCGTTGGTAGACCGGCCAGTCAACAGATCCCGCCAGGGCACCGCATTTTCTCGCTCATACTGAATACTATAAACAATCTCGCGATGCTGCGTTGCCACATAAGGGTCATCTTTCGGCTTAGCCTCAATGCTGGAAATGACGTGTAAAGCTTCGTCCGTGCGACCGTGGCATAGCAACCATCTGGTCGAGTCAGTGGACTAACATGAAAAGGTCTCTGTGGTGCGCACATACCGGGGGGACTCGGGCAGCCAGGGAACTGTGGCAGCGAGAACGAAGATGAAGAAGAACTGAAGGGCAATAGGAAGTCTCCAGGCCAGAGCTCCGCCGTGGAAGGAAAGCCCGTAGTTGATCCAATTGACGAGCATGAAGCCTCCAACATTCAAGGCCATCTCCATGATTACCAGTCGGCCTCGCCAGGAGACCTGGGCAGTCTCCGTCTGCCAGATTGGTGCTGTGGCGGTGTTGATGCCGTTTCCAATTCTGCAACTGTCAGCGAAGGCCATACCGCTAGTATGTTATCTCTGACCCTAGGATGATTCGGCCAACAAACATCTGAGCGAGATGATACGAGCTCGCCTGCAGAATGGTGCCCACCGCCATAATGGCTGTTCCGATCAAGATCGACTTTTTCCGACCGAGCTGTTCCGAGATGGCAAAGGCGCAGAGGGCCCCGAGAAAGCAGCCGACGTCGTAGATGGCTGTGACAGTCGACAGAGTGGAAGTCTTTGACGGTCCGACCAGATCGTGGACCTCGAGAAAGTTCTGGGTAACAACCACGCCACCTGCCACGCATTAGATCATGAGATCTGGGAGATTATTGCTGGGAAGACGTACTAAAGACCCCTTGGTCATACCCGAACAGGGTCATATCCGTAGCACAAGCAACCTAGACAGTCAGTACTTGGTACTAGCTCTTCGCATACGCTGATCTTGTACCGTAATCCAAAAGGTGAGCCATCCTCCGACAAGCCCAAAGTAGGGCTTCCTTGCAATTGAGTCAGTCATTGTGGGCTCAGTATAGATATATCGGCCAGACTGAATCAGGGTGGGGGGGCGCGCATGCTCTTATAAGACGCCGACGCCTTACCCCAAGTCAACAGCGCGGGGGTGGGGTACCATCGTGGGGGTTGATGCTTCATTCAACAAGGCTGCATTTGGTGCATGCACTTGCCGCAGGACTTGGAAATAGATGACGAGGGTGGCAACTCCATGGCTACGTTACATCCGACCAGCTGTTGGGGAGAGCAGTCAGAGGCTACTTGGTCCTGCCGGAGATGGCGTCATGATACTAGTTGATAGTCATACACATCCTCCTTTCAATAGCCGAGGATATTGAGGTTAAGCTTCATCCCCCACGCTGGTCGATCTCTGTGGAAAGGAAGGTTGGGCAAAGAGGGAGTGTGAATGGATGCAGATGAAAATCCGGGGGGCATGAGAGAAATGCGGGGAAGATAAGATCTCGGAGAAAATGCGTCGATCTTTTTTCCTGTTCAGCCTGTCAGGTTGTTTCTCCCCATCTGTCCAGCCTTTTAAGTTTAGAAGATCCTGATGGTTTGTTCGCATTGGTCGGGGCATTTCTTTCGCAAACGCTGAATCGATGTTCTCCCGTGCGTCCTTTAGCAGGAGCTGCCAGATTC